CCCTGATAAGACATATTGTGTGGAGTCACTCTGCACATGCTCAGTTTGGTGTGTACGGTTAGAGAGGTTTTTTTTTTCTTGGGAGAGTGCATGTGATCAGCTCAGGGCCAATTATCAGTGTCCAGACAGAGGTCAGGGGTTCTGCATCCTCCTAGAGCAAAATGAAAACTCCTCCAACAAGCTGTAACTAGTGCTCTGCTGGACACTGATAGAAGTCACAAGGCTGCTCTAACTGCTAATGAGAAAAGGTATTTAGCAGTTTATATTTACTAAAATAATTGCACTTCCATGTTGTGTGTACTGTGGGAGACCAGATATAGTGGATGCAGGGTCCTGGGTTTAGTAACACATTAAATCACTTACATATTGATTAAATAGTACAGGAACTAGTACAGAGCCTTATGGTACACCATTAGTGACAGGTCTCTGTTCTGAATGACCCCCAATTACAACCACACTCTGGAATCTATCCACTGTCAGTAATCAGTGGGCATTATTGAAGTCTGCCATCCTGAAGGCAACTAGATTATCTGTCAGGCAAATGTGTAAGAATAAACGGAGGAAAAAAAACAATATGGTTCACCAAAAGAGGTAAGTAGGTTAGTATAGGAGATATTATCAGCATATAAGAGATTCAAGGAAACAGAAAGTGTAGTTGACAGAGAAGTGTATAAACATAGACAATAGGAGGCCATCACATTATCAGTGCTGCCAAAGTACAGAAAGAGGAGGAAATGGTTAAATCTTTTAAGGCGACAAAAACTGTTTTAGGTACATTAGTGGTAGAAGGAAAAAAATTGAATGGGTTCACTAAAATGAAAACTGTGTACAACACTTCTGTTGAGGGAAACCTGCATGTAGTAAACCATTTAAACAATTACAAGGTGGTATCAAAAAGTTTTGAAACTAGTTTTGTAACACGCTAACAGGTGACAGCACAAGGCTGCATGCACAGTCACAGAGAACACCGACCTTCATAAGTCAGTGTGCCAAAAGACATCATCCTGTGAACATCATCCTGTGCAACTGGTGCTATTCTGACCACTTGTGTTACCACGTCTGCTATTTCATCATGGACAGCAAGTTAGAACAAAAAACAAACGTGAAATTCTGCATGAAACTGGACAGATCTGCCACAGAGACATTTGGCATGATTCGGCACGTTTATGGCGATGCTGCAATGAGTTGTTTGAGGTGTTTTAAGTGGTATGTGCACTTCAAGAGCAGAATAACATTACTGGAAGATGACGAGAGATGAGGAAGACCTTCAACAAGCTTAACCACTGAAAATGTTGAAACCATTCGGCAACTTGTGCATGATGATCATCAAAGAACAATCTATAACTTTGCTGCCATTGTCAGTGTGTCATACAGAACAGTCCAGGCCAGGGGCAGACTGACCATTTGGAAACTCGGGCACTGCCCGAGGGCCCGGGGTCAGTAGAGGGCCCCATGAGATGCCCCTGGTACCTTTTTCATAGGCTTTTTTGAGTTTGGGCAAGGACACAGGGGCCCCATGATCCCCTATTGCCCGGGGGCCCCATGAGTTGTCAGTCCGCTCCTGGTCCAGGCAATCCTCACTGTGATTTGAACATGCGCTGTGCTGCTGCCAAGTTCGTCCCCAGGCTGCTGACCCAGGAGTAGGAGGAACACCACGTTGAAGTCTGCAAAGAACTTTGTCAGTGTGCCATGCCATGGATGTCCCATCCTTCATGTCAAGAATCATTACTAGTAACGAAATTTGGGTGTTTGGGTTTCACACAGTGTTTCATGTTTACTGTCCATGATAAAATAGCAGATGTGGTTACGCACATGATCAGAATAGCACCAGTTGCACAGCTTCTGATGTACACAGGACAATGTCTCTCTGCATACTGACTTATAAAGGTAGGTGCTCCCTGTAACTGTGCATACAGCCTTGTGCTGCCGTCTGTTGGTGTGTTACAAAACTGCAAACTATGCTGTAGACATAGTCTATCCTGATTTAAGCAAGGCATTTGGTACAGTTCCACATAATAACTATTTTGCTTTGGAGTCTAATAAGGTTACTTTGCATTATAGCAAAGAAGCTTAGACCTCTGTGGTATATTAATGCAAAAATTCTGTACATACAAAATATTACAATTATAGTAATACAATACCTATAACAAGCAAAATGCTACCTACTTCCTAGGAAAACCATGTTCTGTTTAAAATAGTAAAAAGTTACTTAGCTCCGATTATAGAGGCTTCACAATCTCTGTAGGAAACATGGACTCCAGGCTTGCTCTAAAATGACTGCAGGAGATTGGGCTAAAAGTGTCTTCAGGTTCTGGCAGAGATCTTCCTTGGTGTTAGTCATCTTAGAGGCATTCTTTTCAGCATCAGTTGTTGACTTTTATTTGGAAAGTTTTTGCAATAATGTGTTTCCCAATTCAGCTCTGATTAATCAAAGTGGCATCGCTGACTACACAGAGAAAGTTCTGACAGCTTGAGCTGTCAAACTAAAGCAGTCTAGCAATGTTTATCTACAACATTGCTCAAAAGAAACAATGTTTCATTTTGTATCTGTTTATTCATCTACATATCAGAGGGATGAACTTCTATCTGCAGATGAAGTCAGTACGGGTTCATGTACATCGGGCGTTTGGAAAACTCTTCTGAATGATGGAAACTGACTAATAGAAATTGTAGGTTAAAAAAAGTTAGTTTAGCCGTGTTTGCATACCGCGGTTATGAGCGTTTAGACATGTTTATGCACGTTTGTGTTCAGAAGCGTTTTTAAAAGATAACCCCAGGAGACCTTCCCAAATGCCTAGAATGCACTGAAAAACAGTAACAAATTAACTATTTCAGACATTTTGAGAGAAATAGAGAGAGCAGAAGCAGAGAGCGCAGTATGTGTTGAGATGACCTGTCTTTTCTGGTTGTATTCACTATGGATCCCATCATGAACATAATACAACACATTCTATCATTTTTTCCTTCATACGAAACCTGGAACTGACTGCGCTGGTGTGCTAGGTCCATTTGAATACATGTAAAACGCTTTGCATGTATTTCTGATGATGAAAAAAGGCTCTGGAGAGCATCTGGACATGGAACAGTTATAAACGCAAAAACTTATAAACGCGGTTAACCACGTTTACAAGCATTTGGTGTTTGAAATGCTGGTGAAATCTACTCCGGAACACAAGTTTGGTGCATTCAAAATAATGACTGTAAACTCAACTGCCTGTAAATGACTGTAAATAGCTATGTGTACATGGACACATAGGAAAACATTAGGGAGAGTTCAGGGGCTGCTGAAAAAAACGCTGAACAGCTCCTGAATGTCAGTTTAGCAGCTGCAGTGTACATGAGCCCTTAAAGCAACCTGACAAGTAAAACAAATTTTTGTGTTTATGTTCCTCTGTTCAACTCCTTATTAACCCTTATTGTACTCTAAGCAGCCCTAATAAACCTCATAATCCTTCTCCATTCAATTATTATTTTCCTGCTGATTTTTTTTTCTGTTAGTTTCAATTTTATTAACTAATAATATTTAAACCTTTTTTTTTGTTTTTGTTTGTTTTGTTTATTAATATTTTTACGCCTTTTAACATATAACTACAAATTTCACATTTAAAAAAGTGCAAAATCGAAAAAAAAAAAAACCCAACACTTTATTTCATTTGTAAATGACTGCAATGCTTTGTACCAGAATCATAATTTTAATGTCATTTTAAAACAGTACAAATTACAGAAAGAAATCTGCGCTTTTTATGTACAGTAACACTATTCATATTTAAACTGACACTGCTAAAAAAAAAAGTGTGTTTTGTTATTTGAATTGTTTAAGGATTGCAGGGGAAAAAATTGCTGCAAGAGAATATTCACAAAAAGAAAGCCTTGTTTGTCCTTAAAAAAAACAATATATTTATTATGTTTTTATCTTAAATAATGAAATAAAGTTAAAAACAGGTCCATAGCAGAAATGGTCTATAGGGAATGAAAAGGTGTGAATGGCGAAGTGGATATACATTATTAGTTATCACTAGAGGGATCAACAGTAGGAGAAAGTAGGTCCTGATATCTCTGTATGGATCTTTAGTTAAACCTCATTTAGAATACTGTGCCAGTTCTAGAGACCTCACTTACAAAAATATATTGATAAGATATAATGAGTCCAGAAACAAGAAACAAAAATGATGAAAGTTCTAAGGGATAAAACATATCACGAGAGACTTCAGGAACTTAAAGTAGAACTTAAGGTAAAACTTTTTTTTCCATGATGGATAGGGTAAGGGAGGGTTATAACCCCTGCAGATTTTCTTCTTGCCACAGGAAATGAGAGGGAATCCCTCCAAAGTTAGGGAATCCTTGGTTGTCACCAGGGTCACCATTGGAAGATTTACCCTCTATTCCTGTTTTGAGGACAACCCAAAATCCATGTTTTCCCTTTACTTTCACTGTTAGTGATAACGGTAAACAAGACAAATAAAGAGGATGAATCTACCTAATCGGGACACAGACAGCAAATAAAAACCCAACAAGTGTTCTAATCCCTCCTTTCCACTTCATCCAAAACTAAAAAAAAAAAAAAAAGTCTTGCCTTTAGTTATACTTTAATATGTACAGTCTGGAGGAAAGAAGGGAAAGGGAAGACATGAATAAAACTTCTAAATAAAACAAGGAGAAAATAAGGTTGAGTGGGGAAGTCTTTTCAATAAGATAAGATGAAGAACATGTGGACATGACCTTAAACTAGCAGCAAGAAAGTTCAAAACTAAACTTAAACAGTATTATTTTACCTAAAGAGTACTGTAGTTGATGCTTGGAATAGACTTCCAGCAGAGGTAATAAGCCAGTCAACAGTAAGCGGATCCAAACATGCTTCAAACAAACAAAGTTAATGTGTCCTGGGGGAACTAAGGCAATTGTCTATTTGAACCAGAAGAAAAACATTGGTACAATGCGCCACACCCATGCTGCAGCCAAAAACGCAGTGCAGCAGTGTGAAAGTGACCTAATACTCATATACAGGGGCAGACTGACAACACATGGGGCCCCCGGGCAATAGGGGATCATGGGGCCCCCTGTGTCCTTGCCCACACTCAAAGCACACCCAAAAAAGCCTAGAAAAGGAACCATGGGCATTTCATGGGGGCCCCCTAATGACCCCGGGACCTTGGGCAGTGCCAGAGTGCTCGAATGGTCAGTCCGCCCCTGCTCATATATTTAGTTTATATCATAAAGCTTCACACAATAAATGTTCTGGTCTGTGTTCATCATATAATGCACAGATTAGTTCAGTAATAACTTTGTAGCTTCACTGTATCAACTTTGTATCATTTCTCCAAGATCAGCACAATGCAGAGTCACAGATCAATGGTTAGTCTGCATGCTGAGGATGTTGAAGATAGCATTCAGCACAAGATCAAAGGAGCATCCACCAATATAATCCTTCAAATACATGTATCAGCAAAAGGATTTCATGCAAACACTCATAGGTATCCGTTGTTTTATTGCAGTTATGCTGCATATTCTAAAGATGTATTAAGGAAAAATATACTGCTGCATAGGCAATCAAAGCAATAATTTTATATGTCCATCCCAGGTTTTAAAGGATATTCTGTTTAATCTCCACATATATGAATAGTGACACATGTATGCCATGTGCAATCTCTTATACTTATATTGTGGCTGTTAGCTTAGTATATTGTGTTAGATGCTTTCTGATCAAATGTGAAAGAATCAAACATGCCCACACAGCATTACACATAAATGTGACATTTCTTAAAAGTCTCTTCACTTTAATGTGTCCATGGTAGCACTGTGTGTACTATTGTGTTGTTGCTTCCCTCCCCATTACCATGGGCAACCTATGGTGGTCATTTCAGATCTTGATGGTTTGATCTGTCATATACATCCTATAATTTTAAATGTCACTTTCATGTATGGATGGCAGCCCTATGGCTTCCAATATATTGCTGCTTTTCTCCGCAGGTAACCTATGGAGGTCATCTCTGCCATATACATGTGCAATCCTGCATCCTATAATTTAAAGCTAAAAAAAAACCATGTCTATACTTACCTGTTGTGTGCAGTAGTTTTGCACAGAGCAGCCCAGATCGTCCTCTTCTCGGGTCCCCCGCAGGCTCTCCTGGCAACCCCTCCTGGTGGGTGCCCCCACAGGTTGCTATGGGGGCACCCGATGTTCCACGTGTCCATTTGCACACATAGCCGCACCACGGCCCCTCCTCCCCCTCTTCTCAATGACTCACTGGCTGTGAATGACAGCAGCAGGAGCCATTGAGGAGAGGGAGTCCCGGGATAGATGAAACTTCTGGTCCTGGTGATTTATTTGCGTTAAGCTTTACAAGTCTTTTTCAGACACTGGCTTCTGTTAGCTTCTGTAAATCTCAAGACTAGATGGCCAGAAATATAAGTCCTTTGGCAAGAAAAATAGTTTACATACAGTATGTTTTTTTCAGTTGTGTGTTTTCTGTTTGCTTGGAGTCCAACTTTAAGGTAGTTGTGAACAATACAATATTATAGACACTCTCTAATATTCTCTAAGTTAACGCTATGCAGGTACCATAACTGCCTTTGCTTAATTTCAGAAAAGATCTTTTTGACTTTTTTTAAAAGTTCTGTCAAGTGACCCTGCAACTCTTCTTCCTGAGAGTTGGAATGGGGTTGCAGGACACCATGTAGACACGTGGTGTGCCTGTATTCCATAGTCTATTCAACCAGAGGCAAAATGCAAGTTGTGCTTGATCAGGGGTATGTTCAAGATCTAGGCCTTGATTTGGAGGGGGTATGTGTCAAAGGAAAGGCAAGTTGCAATTGGTCGGGGTGTGTGGTAGCTGAACAGCTACCCAATACAAGTATGCTGTGTGTCTGCACAGTGTCCTGTATCTCTGAATGACCAGCCAAAGGATGAAAACTGACCACCCAAGCATAGATCAGCTTTTGTGTTTTGTGTGGTCACTTTAGAACAAGGAAGAAAGGTGACAGTCAGAATCAGCAAGGTACTTCAGATGGAAGAAGTGCATTAAATGATGGAGTGTTAGATTTATAATATACACATATGTGAACACATACGCAGAAAAAAAAAATATTTAGGGTATGTAATCTTGAGGAAGTTGCTAACATCAGCCAAGCATGTTAGTAAAATCAAAAGCAGTTTTTTTTATTGCTTAAAAGTTAAAAACAATAGTTTGCATGTAGCATAAAATACACAAAACAGTCCACACTTCTGGTATAAATCAAACGTCTTGGCTCACCACCCAAAAAACCCATAACAGGGTTACATTTCTGCCTGTCTCATGGGTCCCAAAGGTCAGGTCACCAGTTGCTTATTGGTGCCTCAGTCAACTACTGTTGCTGCTAAGTTGGTTCTGCTTCAAACTTCACTTTACAGACATCTGCTGGATGCTTCCTGCTGCTTTTCAAGACTCCCTTGCAAGTGGTTTAACCATTTCAGGACTAGAACTCCTCATGGTTTGGAGGCTCTTCCCCATCCCAAAGTCTCTCTGGGCCTCCGAATTCCAAGTTCCAAATGAAGACTTACTAAAAGAGCACTGTAAAGCTGTTCTCTCCTCTCTGAGTGAACTACCCTGGAATCCCTCACCCTTCATAGGTGAGTACTAAAAATGTCTTTTATTATCCCCCTTAAAGGAACCACATCCAAATAATGGGGGAACATACCTGCTGTCCAGGATACACCCCTGGCATTCTGTACAGACAACATACATTTTAACTGTAACTTGGGCCTAGGGTTATATTCAAAACATGTGTCCCCACCCAATAAACAGCCTAAACCTGACTCTTATTTATGATATATCAGGCTGTTGAACCACTTTCAGGATTGATCACTTATGGCCGCCTCAATGTTTTTCAAACATTAGTCATTTTCCACAGTAAGTAGAAATATGCTGAAAACCGTAGCAAAAAGACTGACAAATTCTTTATTTCAAGAATAAGTGTACTATTAGTATATTTCCCTTATTCCTGTCCCTGCAGCCTTCTTAAAAAAAAAAAAAAAAAATGGTAATGTCTACCGATTCTGCTTTTAAACAGGAGGGCTTTTTTTTTTTTTTTTTTTGTTTTTTTTTTTTAGACAAGAGGATGTCTTCTCTTCCTGCAGCAACTGCTTCCTGCTACAACTAGAAGGAGCGAAAATGAAGACAAGTGCCAGACTTTTCATATATCCTTATACCTGGAATGTCCCTTCTCTCCATAAAAAAATCAACAGCTTTTCTTTTAAGCCCAAAGGAAGGTGATTTTACCTGAAACACACAATGCAACCAATTGCAGAAGGATCTTTTGAAAATAGACTTTGGAAAGCATGGAAATGATAGTAAATATTGTTTAAATTAGTTGCTTCAAGTAAGAGTACTGTTTAGTAATCAGTATTCCATTTACTCTAATTTAATTTGATTCTACAGTAGTTGAGTGTCATGGAATTCATTTTCCTGTGAAAACTGCATCCTCCCATGATTTTATCAGTTCTCGGTGCCTGCATTTGAAATCATTATATGTTTAATTAGAATGGGGTTTGATTTAGCACCACAAAGAAACCAGAGCCAGGGAAGAAATGAAGAATAATAAGGCCATTTTGAAACTCAGTTCAGATAACTCACATCATCCATCATATCAAAACCCAGGTTGTGAGTCAAAGGACCTCACTAGTTATGAGCGCTCACAATTTCTGGTAGAACAGCCTTGTCCTAATCTCCCTTCCCATACTGGTAATAAAATACATTCATCTTGATGGCAAAATAGTTTGGCAGATTGTCAGCAGACACTAAAAGTAAAATAGAGCATCCAAATGTGACCAAGATTTGGTAGCCGCAGACGTTTCTCTTTCCCAGTGGTGCTCATTTGTTATATGGTGGGAAAGGAACATAAAAAACAACAATTATTGTATATGCTAGTTTAAGATAAAAAATAGAAACATGCAGCCATGAAACAATGCATACATTTACTGTGGAAAACTATTTTATTCTCACCTGTGTATGTGTTTATTTGTAAAGAAACGCAATGGGCCCTATTTATACATGGTGGAATAGCTGTGTACTTCACCTTTTTGTTTTGTTCTTTTATGGTTTTTATTTGCTGTTTTCCTAGAACAGGCTGTCCCAAAACTCTTCAGCTTATTGACCCCTTCACAATCTTTCAGATTGTTTATCAACTCCTAAGCATATTTTATATGAAAACAATTTACTATTGTAACAAATAGCCACAGGAATAATAAAACATTAAAACACATTTATTATATATGCACTATGTTGATCATTAATATGACTTCATTAAAATACATAATATTTAAAATATTAAAAATATAAGATTAAACCTTTTCTCATGAATCAATTGATGGACAGCACAGTGGCTGAGAGGTTAGCACTTCTGCCTGGCAGTACTTGGCTCATTGGTTCGCACCCAGGGGCGGACTGACAGCTCATGGGGCCCCCGGGCAATAGGGGATCATGGGGCCCCTGTGTCCTTGCCCAAACTTAAAAAAGCCTATGAAAAATGTACCAGGGGCATCTCATGGGGCCCCCTACTGACCTCAGGAAGTGCCTGAGTTTCCAAATGGTCAGTCCGCCCCTGTTCGCACCCCAACCATGGCAACACCTTCCTGGAGTTTGCATGTTCTCCCTGTGCCTGTGTGAGTTTCCTCTGGGTACTTCAGTTTCCTTCCACACTCCAAAGACATACTGGTAAGTGATATGGATCCTGTCGAAATTGGCCCTAGTATGTGTATGAATGTGAGTTAGGGACCTTAGATTGTACACCACTTGAGGGTTAGGGACTGATATGAATGTACAATATATGTGTAAAGCGCTGCGTAAATTGACGGCGCTATATAAGTACCTTTAATAAATAAATAAATATGATTAATGTAAAGAATGCATCTGATGGGCATCAACAAGGGTACTGATATTTGGTGGAGACTGGTGTACCAATTCTTCAACAGAGTTCAAGGTGGTGGAGGCCACTTAGCATGGGAAATGAAAAGCAACACCATGCATATGTATAACTTTCCTGAAAGGAGGAGGGGTGGTAAGTCAGACATACAATGCAAACCACACTGGTAACAGTAGCAACACACATCTGATGAAGACAACTATAGCCAGTTTCACTAGCAGCTGACCATCCAGCCCTGGTAACACTCTCATGCCACTAGCCATGTCCCCTTCAGGACTAGGGACAAGTATGAAGCTCTACAGAGAACTCAAAAGT